TTTTTTTCAAAAAGTAAGTCGGGGGGGGGGGGGGGCAAGTGCCCCACCTTGCCACTACCTGCGGGCGCCCATGTATAGGCCTACATTATAATGGTTGTTCATTTATTTAATATTTCGATACGGCTTTCTACAATTTTGAAATCGTGACGTAGGCAGCTATTCTGAAACAATAATTAATAATTTACTATTTCGGAAGTTCCATGGTAGCCAGTACTACGGTACTATTTTGTATTGCCAATTTGAGGGGTGGTAAGTCGTCATACTGTAGCTAAACTCTTATTTAATTTTATTTTTAAGTGTAGCGTCCCTTGTGTCTAGGGTTGCCTCATCTTGCTGGGACTTCGGCGGGACACTCTGAGATGGGGGTTTAGAAATGAAGTATAGAAAAAAGATTAATATAATTACTTTTTATTTATAACACAATTACATGGAATTTGTTGCGGCAGAAGTAGTTAGTACACCATATTTTTCGAAAGATATCACCTTTTTAAGACTCTATACCTTTGTATATATGTGTGTGTGTTTAAAGTTTGTAAATTAATGTAAACGAAAAGTATACAATTAATTTAGTACTAATGAAGTTAGAGAATTTCTTTTCTAAACTACATGCTCACGGGCGTGTAGATGGGAAATAGACGCACTATTAAATTTACAATCTGCAGATAGCCCAGTCGTTTTTTCCTTTTTTTTTTATTAAAGCAAATAATTATTTTTTAGCTAAGAAAACAATAACATCAGCAAAATTATTTAAAACAAAATTGAAATTGGAATAGGTAATCAGATTGTAGAGTTGAAATAAAATTAAATACATACTATAATCGCCATAAAGTTATTTTGGAACATTAGGTAAACTGAAACATTAACTTTTAATTAGTATTCATTAAATTTTTTAATTATTTTATCGAAATAATAAATTTGAAAAAAGTGCGTTAACAATTCGTTACGTGAAATTCGATGTCGTAGCCTAAATTTTTTATTTATTAGCTGCACAGGTGAGGGGTCTTTTTTTTCTTTCTTGGTTTTTTCTCTTTAGATAATAATAATATAATATAGAATATTTCTGTAAATAATCATACACCAGTGTTTAGGAGAATTTTACATCAGTCTTCGTACAGAATGTATGTTATTGGTGGAATTCAGCTAGTTTGCGTGAATAGGGCCTTGGCAAGCAAAAACAGTGGCCATTAATTAAGGCCAAAATAAATCAAACGGCCCCCCCCCCCCCTCAAAAAAAAAAAAAAAAAAGAATGCCCCCAAGGCTCGAGCCGTCTCTTACCATACCCTCCGTACGAACATATATGCTCCTTCCCCGGAATCTGGGGGTGGGATGGGCTAACCTAATCCGAATTAATTATTCTATCTATTGACACCATGGAATTGAGAGTGTCATAATCACGGTTCAATGTCCAGTAAAAATAATTAAATGAATAACATTTGTGAAATGTTGTTTTCAATCTTTTTTTAAAATTTATCATAAAGTTGACCTAGGTTTAAAAATTGCGACAACCTTTAAATTTAAACACCCATTTAACAAGTTAAAACTATCAATAGTAATGCCATTTAGTGTGTAAATTTCGTTGACAAAGAACTGAAGTTGCCAGTTGCCTTTGATGATGACTCACGCAGACAATGCCCTTATTTGGAGTTATCTTACACATCTGATCACACAAGGGAACTCACTCTTATTATCCGTGTTAAAAAAAAAAAAGTGAACAAAAGCTGTAAGTAGATAGAAGATTGAACATTATTTTGATTAATCTAAATTATATTAAAACATCTTCCTAAAAATGTTGTCCATTTCAACTATTATTAGTTATTTTAAATTAAGTTAAAATGTACTTACGTGACAGAAATAGTATGTTTTCTACTTCATCGTTGTTTTGAATTCTCGCCATGTTCCTTAATCTAGAGTGCTACCATTAATCAAGATGGCGTCTGGTGTTAAAGTATCCGAAGACACTGTGGAGTTGTACAAAGCAATGAAGCTTCGAAAAACAAATAATAGATATTTGATTATGTACATCGATCAAACTGATGGACTGATAAAAGTAGAATACACAAAAGAAAGGAATGACAGTATTTCTCAAGAGGATGAGTTTAGAGAATTCCTAGAGAGATTACCGACGGATGTTGGTCGTTACTGCATTGTAGACTTGACCATTCCTCAGAAAAATGGAGCTTTGAAGGACATCATGTTTCTTATTACATGGTAAGAAGAATTAAATATCAGAAAAAGATCATTGTTACTTTAAAGAATGGAATGCTTCTTTGAGTGCCAGTATGGATTTAAATTTTAATGCCTCCCAACTCAAACTGCCAACTCTTTTATAGAATATTATTAGGCCCACTTTGACTTAAGTTGTAGGTAGGCTAAAGTTCCAGATGCCTTATGCCTTACTTATGACAATTAATGATTATTGTTTTTTTTTAAACAGTTAAGCAACCAAACTTAACAGAATCACAGATCATGGTTGAAACTTTCAGATTTTAACAATGCAAATAATATTCTACCAAGCTCATTTTTGTTATTGAATAATGTTTTCAAAATTACATTTAGCCAAGACAATTAATTATAAATTATTACCCTTACTTAGTTATGCAATTTCATGTGACCGTTGATTTTTTTTAAAATTTAGGGTAGTGTTTATTTTGACCCATTTGTTATCTAATATTTCTATAACTTTCTTTATTTTTACAGGTGCCCAAATAATTCCCCACTAAAGTCTAACATTTTGTACACAACCTCTAAAAAGGCTCTAACAGACAAAATTCGTGAAGGTATGACAGACATCCAAGCCAATGACCTTTCAGATCTTGTCTACAGTGAATTACTAGAAAGGGGATGCAAGTAGAGACAAATACATCGCAGAGAGACCTCCAAGCTCTTGAAAGTTATGACTTGAAAAAAAGCTCATATTGATTAGGAGCTTCATGGGGATCTTGAGCCTTGTGCATACATTTTTTAAATCTTTTTATTTAGAAAAATGAAAATTTAAATGTTCTTTGGAAGTATTGTACCGTATGTAAGTTTGAATACTAAAATTCATGTGAAGGTTTTAATTTATAAGTCTATTGTATACATTGGCATAATTGTATGTGCTTGTATTAATAGCAGTACCACCCTGCTTTTAGAAACAAAATTTTCAAGTGATCTGATTTTTATTTTCAGTTAATTACAAAAACTTTTGAAATATTTATCTACATAATTATTTTAAATTTTGGATTGCTCAAAACTGCCTCATTAAAAATAATTGTTTGGTAATTTTGTAATAAAAACAGTTACCTGTGACGGATTGTTTCAAACAATTGATAATTTTTTCCCCATTACATGGAATATTATTTTTTATAGCTAGGAAATTAAAAAATTTTGATTCTCCCACAAATGCTTAACTGCATCTCTTTGCAGTAAATTTATTTGCTACTTTCATCTAAATCAATATTTGTTTTAAAGTTTTTAAAAAGATTGAAAAGTTTAAAAAATTTCAGTGAATTGCTCAAAACTTGTCTTCTCTGTTATTGGTTACCTCTCCACATGGGTCTCTCTGTGTTTAAAAAGTAATAGATTTGCTTCAGATGTTGTCTTATTTTCATTTTATGGATGTGGCCCTCTTGTGCCTTAAGCGTTCATGTGGCCACTTTTTATCTAAAGAGGAACTTGGGCCAAAATATTTTAAGCAAGACTTTCTTTCTTCACTTACTGTTTATTTCTTTCTCTAGTCCCAATGTTAAACATTTTGTTGCATGCTAGAATTTTTTTATGTACAAGATTCAGAAAATCCCAATCTTTACTAATTTGTTTGCTCATTTTAAATTTACATAGCAGGTATTATTTATAAAAACTTATATTTCTTCATTAGGCTTTGAAAACATCAACTTAGTTTTTTAAAAATTGTTTCATTTAACAATTTATATCCACATAAATTAAAAATCCCCTTATATCAACATGAGATTTTATCCCAGTATGTGAACTCAATAACTTTGTCAAGACAGACACTATTTATTTCACTTCATTTAGTTAAATGAAGGAATCTCTATTTTTACTGTAGCTAGCATAATTAACCGATGAAATATCTTTATTACGGTATATACTGAGTCCATTTTTTACAAAATAGCTATTGATCTGTGTTAAAAAAAACTCAATCTTTGCTAAAAATTGGACTTCAACTAGCCAAATTTTAATTTCGAAGTTGTGGGTTATTCATTTAAAAGGAGGAAGAAAACATTTTGGGATGAGTGCACAGCAAATAAGAGAGTATTCAGGAATTTTTTGTTGTTGCTATGTTATATAGATGCCGATCTGTCGTGTGGATAAAAAGTGTGGATATAAAATGTTAAATTTCATGTTGATTTTTTTCTATTGGCCTTGCTTCTACTCTGTGTAAAATACCTATTTAGTAAGATATGGATTGATAATTTTATAAAAACAGTCAGAGTGTTTTCACATGTATTAGAAAGTCTATGTGAAATATGAAAGTATTAGTACTCTCAATTGAATAGTTTTGGTTAGTGTTAGCAGAGGCAGAGGTAGACTGCTGTTTATAAATTGATTGTTAAATATAAAAGCTATTGTGGTTCTCTTTAGCGTTTAATGTGAAACTCATTTTTATGTAACGGTAGTTTATGACAATGCCTGTTTAACAAATTTTTAAAATCAAGCTATTACTTTAAAAAAGAAAATATTAAAATTGTAAACACAAATATTTGAATTTGCTATTTCAAAGATAAATTAATTTTCCTATTCTTGATAGCCATGCTTGAAAGCATTAATTAACACTATCAAACATATGCAGGCTAAAAGAAAAATACCAGTTATATTAATTTTAATCATCAAATTCTCTGATCTTCACTTAGCAAAGCTCTGTCTCATCCAATAGTGTTTTTTGTCATATGGGGTTGACAACTACCCACTCACACTTATTTAGATGTATGATATGTGTTTTTTTTAAATTTATTAAAAAGATTTCTATACACCTATGTTTAAGAATTAGTTTGAAAATAACCTATATTTTATTATTGCAAATAAGTATATAAATTTATATCTTTAATTGAACACACAATAATCTACCACATTATTTAAATAATGTCTTGCAGATGTAGACTTCAATTGTTTATTAGTACATTATGCTAAGGAAGCCATTTTGTTGCTTATTCATACATTTTTCCTCTAAGGCCTGTTTCAGTTATAAAAGAAACTAATAATATTAAAAATTGTTGAAAATTGTGTCCCTATTATCACATGATCCAGCCATATAAAAATAACCAACCATTCCCATCTCTGTTTTGTTTCTGCCATATTTCTTGTAGTGTTTTAAAATTTTGGTACCGGGTACACAAAGTATTGTTTGTAGATCTGAATTTGACTAAGCCCTTGCCTGTGAATGCCAATCTCTTAGAAACTTACAAGTCTTTTTATTGTTACTGTTTGAACCTAACAAATATACACATAAATTTACACAAGTACCTTTTTTTTCTTAAAGCCAAGGAACTTGGTGCTATTTTTCTTCAAATTTTAACAACTTTTATTAAACTTTGTCTTGTCAACAGCCAAGATACAAGTTTGTTCCCCCCCCCCCAATTGTATAAGATTAGTTACCACAATAACACTTTTGTGTTGTAATGCATTTAAAATGATTTTTACCTGTACTGAATTGTATTAGTTGGTTATGAAATCTTAGTGAATACCAGCGTTTTTTTAAAATATTTTTTTTATTTTTTAATAACAGAACGTTATTCAATAATTTGATCAGTCTGAGTACAACTTGTTAAGAAAAGCAGAGTTTGAAATAATAAGGTTGTTAGAACTATGATGGAAAGCTTTGTTGATGGAATGTTCTAGTAAGATCTACCCATACTTGACTTGTATAAACTGATGCATGTTATTGTTATTCAACACACACCCCCCCCCCCTTTGTAGACATAAAGGCCCACCCATAAGTTTATTTCCATCAACTTACATGAATGACACTTCAGCTTTGTTCATCCAGTTCTCAGTTGATTGTTCCCTTGTTTCTCCATTCCCTTGATTTAACATATTATATCCTTGTATTGATTTGGCTTTGCTTGCTCTCTAAAACTCTTCATTTACTGCTCATTTTGGTGTGTGCTTACTAATGCAGATGCAAATGAAACTACTTACAATAATTTCAGTTTTAAGAAATTTTGTTTTACAAAAATTGGAAATGATAGTTTATGAATTTGATAATCATTCATTGTAATAAAATAAACTTATACATATTATAATAATATGTACATTCTTTTTTTTTTCTTAATTACAAGGGTTAATTAAAAAAAAAATTACATTTATAAAATATTGGAAAGATTATTGTAAATCCTTGAGCTGCATAAAAAAACTGTGGGCTGTGTGTGATAGGAAAGGCCTTAATAGCCTCCAAGAATATACTGACTATTGTAAAAAATGTCATTTGGTGAAATGTAATTTTTTTAAAATTTTATCGAATGACCTTAAAAAAAGTAAAATGTTTTAAAATAAATTAAAAGATACATTAAAAAATATTTGGAAACTTGTTTCTGTCTAATCTAACAAGCGAAAATCTCAAGAAATGAAATTGTACAAATAAATGAGCATCCCCTATAATCATTCACTTCTTAAAATACAGATCTGCTTCTCCACATCATGTTACTTATTGGTTCACCCTCAAGATAAGGTAAAAATGAAAATCTTGTGACCCAAAACATCTACAGTGCAAATGAATTATATTAACATTTATATAGAGTCAAGTCCCACATAAGTCAATGACAACAGTGACACCAACCCCCCCCCCCCTTTCTGCAGCTTTCAACGTTGAATGGGTGAATGAATGTCTTATTTACACCCAAGTAATACTTAAGCTAAGGTGATATCAGAACACAGGCTCCATGAGAATAATTTTGATGGCCCTAGGCCCCAAACACGCTGGTACTGGCGTGTGTCGTTTGTTACGTGTTGTCTCTTAATTCTTAATCCAGTATCAGTGTAAGACAAATGACATCATAGGCCACTGGAGAGGATGTTCCTACCAGGCCATGAGTTGGAGACCCCTTTCTTTAGTTTTGCATGTTGGATATGTATTTTCCTCTAGAACCACTCCGCTCAACTCCATGACATTGCATGCTCTTTACCTTTTTTTAAGTTAGTGTAACTTTTCAAACTGATGCAATACTTTTTGTGTTTGTGCAACTGCAAAATAAAATGACAAATTGAAAAAAAAAAAACCTACCACTTTTTATTTATTGTAATAAAGGATGACAAAATGTTTTCTTCTATAACATCAATGTTAGTGCATTATTAGTTAAAATGAATGACAAGCCAACATATTGGAATCACATGCCTTAGATTAACAGTTGCTAGCCCTTTTTAATGGTTACATCTACAGACTGTAATTACACATTTGAATCATGGGTCTTACGGTTACATCTACAGACTGTAATTACACATTTGAATCATGGGTCTTACGGTTACATCTATAGATTGTAATTACACATTTGAATCATGGGTCTTATGGTTACATCTACAGACTGTAATTTCACATTTGAATCATGGGTCTTACGGTTACATCTATAGATTGTAATTACAAATTTGAATCATCGGTCTTACGGTTCCATCTATAGATTGTAATTACACATTAGAATCATGGGTCTTACGGTTACATCTACAGATTGTAATCACACATTTGAATCATGGGTCTTACGGTTCCATCTATAGATTGTAATTACACATTTGAATCATGGGTCTTACGGTTACATCTATAGATTGTAATCACACACTTGAATCATGGGTCTTACGGTTACATCTACAGGTTGTAATTACACATTTGAATCATGGGTCTTATGGTTACATCTACAGATTGTAATTACACATTTGAATCATGGGTCTTATGGTTACATCTACAGATTGTAATTACACATTTCAATCATGGGTCTTATGGTTACATCTACAGATTGTAATTACACATTTGAATCATGGGTCTCATGGTTACATCTACAGATTGTAATTACACATTTGAATCATGGGTCTTATGGTTACATCTACTTCTACAGATTGTAATTACACATTTGAATCATGGGTCGTATGGTTACATCTACAGATTGTAATTACACATTTCAATCATGGGTCTTATGGTTACATCTACAGATTGTAATTACACATTTGAATCATGGGTCTCATGGTTACATCTACAGATTGTAATTACACATTTGAATCATGGGTCT